CAATGGACACGGACAAAATGGCTTCTGTGTTCTACACAGTTGTGATCCCTATGTTAAACCCACTCATCTATAGCCTGAGAAATAAGGATGTGAAAGGTGCCCTCAAAAAAACAATGAACACTAAATTATGTTCTGGCTAAACATATACACTGTTGAAATTCAAAAAATATAGATATACTTAAAACTTCTTAGAGCTAAAGGTCTATGAAAAAGAGCCTGCAGTTTCCTCAATACAGTCTTTGTAGATAGTTTCCTATGTTTGTTGTTAGTTTCTTTGTGCATCCAAGGACTATTGTCATGTTCAGTGCCATCTAGTTGGTTCTGACTCAGAGGGATTCTATGTACAAGGTAAGGAAACCCTGCCTGCTTCTGCATCATCCTTGAAACTGTTGCTATTGTCTAAGCCATTGTTACAGGACCTGTATCAATCCATTTTGTTAAGGGTCTTCCTCTATTTTGCCCACTCTCATTTTTGCCAGACATTATGCCCTCATCTAAGGATGGGTCTCTCTTAATTAAATATCCACAGTATGTGAAACAAAGTCTCATCATCTTTATAAAGAGCAATTCTGGCTGTACTTGTTCCTAGACAGATCAGTTGAGTATAGGGTGCAATAATAATTAAACTTAATATTCTCTTCAAGTAATAAACAATATAATGCACAAAAGTTGCTAATATTAATAAAAAATCCTCTATTCTGTGTCTGTTTATCCAAATGAAATTACATGGGTTATTACATTGTATAACCTCTAGCCAGATTCAAACTACTTAACATTGAAAGTGAATTGTTTTAAACTGGGTTTAAGAAAAATAATTTTTCAGCCAGAAGCGAGTTTTTCTGAATCAAATTTAGACTGGTTTCTATCTCCTGTCTACTTTCAGGACCCCTGGAATCATTGCATTATAACTCAAAGAGTGTGAATGAATATTCTTCACTAGATTTAAAGTTTCAGATAGCCATGGTTCTTCTGTCACTCATGACGTGATGCTTTTGCCAATAAAATATCAACATTAGGAATCATGGTTGAGGGTGAAGAACCTGTACCTTCTACAAGACCACTTCAAAAGCATACTCCACCTCCCATGATGTGTTCATAATGCACTGCACTAGCTAACATATAAACAAATAAAATGCCCAATGTGTATAGTTTATGTTACAAAGGAAAAGCTATTAACGTAAAAATATATTTAGTGTGGATAGTAAGAAAACAAAAGACAAGGTTGTATTTACTTTGATGTTACATTTATAATGATGGCAGTGCTTTGAAACCCTACTCTGTCCTAAGGAAAAATGTAATAGTCCTCATCTCTGAATAAGTGGAATGTATCATGAAATTTTCTCTCTTTCCCACATCAATATCCTTGCCAGGAGGGAACAGTGACAATATGTACATATTTCATTAAGAAGAATAAAAACATAAAAATTGTATTATCATAGTAGTTTATTAATGACAATTATCTATGGATTTGTATGTGTGTGTAAATATGTGTGCCTGTATAATGGATATTCTTATAAATTCATTAAAATGACTTTACTCTAAATGACTCGATTCTTGTAATTTTCTAATAATTTAATTCTGACATATATATACATATATATATTATATAATCATAAACCATTTTTGAATACTTCTATAATCTGTTTTGATGGCTTAATTGAATTAATTGCATATGACTTTTTCTCTGTAATCACCTAGTAATTAATCCAGTTCTAATAAAAACATGTGCCCTGGCGTATTCATATCATTTTGGTTGTAATTACAAAAGAAAAATTAAGCATTTCCCTCTAGAACAGAAAATATGGAGTAATAATTTACATGAGGTTTAAATTTAGATTCTCTTCCCTAATTTTATACATTTTTTTAGTAAAAAAAGCGAGCTTAGGGTCATGTACTTTAAAAAACAATGAAGATGACATAATTTATTAATAGCATGCAATACTCAGCAGGTTATTTGACATTACTTATTATCAGGGTTGAGAAGGATAATTGGCTGATTATCTGTTAAAAATGAGTTTTACTCTATTCTCTCAAAGACCTAAATTGATGTTCTTAGGATAACATATTAAATACTAAATAATTAGGACACCTTAATCATTATCTGACCTCTTTTTGTTAAATTACAATAGGTGTTATTTAACTATATCCACACTTATGAAAATAAAATTTACTCATTTTATGTAAAATTGCTATTCATAACCATTTTTCACTTAGGTGTGTAAGGAAAAGTAGATCATTTGCTACACTTGTATGTGTTTTTTTTATCCTTCCCTTTCAAGATGCTGACTAAAGAGGTTTTACAAATGAGCATAGCACCAGGATTTTTCAAATTTTACTTGCTCATTTTTGTTTTTCCAAATTTATTAACATGAGAGAAAGATTTTAAGATTATAATTTAAAGTTTGAAGTGAACAGAAATAAGTTCAAATCCATATAGTACCATTTGCTTTGTAGCTGTATAACCTGGGTTTCTTCATCTGCTCAGCAAGAATTTATTTATATAAGTGAGGATATCTATATAATTTATTTATATAAATGAATATATCTACTAAGCAAATACATACCAATATACATTGCTCTATGTATGTAAATTTTTAAAAGGTACTTGACTTTGCTAAAAGGCTTTAAAATGCTAACAATTATTACAAGAACATATTTATTTTAAAAGAAAGTTCACAGTGCAAGAGACTCTTTAATGATACAATTCCCTTTATCAACTATCGACAGGGTAGAATTTTATAAACTTGAACCCTAAAAATAAAAATGTTTTGTTCTTGGCATCGTCTCATGAAAATGGGTGAGCCCCTGTGTCTCTTTTATCTACACTCTTTTGAGTCTTCCTCTCAAGTCTGAGGGACTCTAGGTTTAGAGCCTACCCTGAAAAATTGTAGGTTTGTACTTCACTCTTCCACCTGCCTAAGACTTATCTTTCCTAAGCCTCCCTTCATTCCTGGTTGGAGATTACTAGAGGTTTCTTCCTGGCTACTGATTTTGGTCACAACACTCTCATGTCTATTCCCAAGGTCAACTACCTGGCCTATATTCTTGATCTAAAGGTCACATATTGCCAATAAAATAATTTAGATTATTAATCCCAGAGGCTTAACCTTACATTATGGTCTATGACCCTATCACCAGGGCTATAACTAAATACAGACACTTAGATGAAACTGAACCAATAGACACCCATAGTAATTGGTGGAAGCCCTTCCGAGAACATCTCACGCTCAGTGTTTATTAAGAAGCTCTTGGTTCTCATCAGCCTCAAATTGCCATGTGCAACACGCTTCACTGCTGAAGGCACATGATAGTTTTTTGTGTGTACAATGCCACCCTAGAGACTAAACCAATAAATACTGATTAAAAAATAGTTTCTGCCTACTAGAGACATATATTCAATAATAAAAACAATCAGTATTAAAATTATATAGGTCTATTTTATAAAGATTATTGGGAAAGATATAGAGATGAGGTATTAAATGACAAAGAAAGAACTAATGAATAAATCTAAGAGATGACTAGAATAGAATGTAGGTACATGTAACATCAAGGTAAGATAACATTGTTGAAAGTCTTAAAATGAGCACATATGCGATTTGATTTGTATCCAAAATGTAAGTTATCCTCTCCAATTGAAAAGAAATTCAGGAAAATGAAATCATGTCAGGGCTAACTTCGAGCAGGACTTTTTAGAGCAATTAGGAGTTGAACAGCTAAGGTGCTACAGTATGAATGCAATAAAAATTAATGAAACAGAATCATAATGAATCCTATTTATGTCCACAAAAGAGGGAGCAAGCTATAAGATGTCAATGCCTCATCTTATATTTTAAGTAATCGCAGTGTAAGGTGCCCTAATGGTGTAGTGGTTATGCATTTGGCTGCCATCCCCGTGGTCAGCAGTTAAAAAACAACAGCATCTCCCTGGGAGAAAGACTGGACTTTCTGCTCCCATAAGGAGTTGCAGTCTTGGAAACCCAAAATGGGTGACCATGGCTCAGCATTGACTCAATTGCAGTGAGAGAAGGTTACAATGGAAAGAGAAAATGAGGATGGGCATGAAATATGTTAGATAGACAAACGGGTAGATCTGTTCCAGAAATAAAGATGTCAAATTTAAAATGGTAACAGAAAACATAAGTAATGTGAGACTGCTAGTGCTAATATTAGGTCCTTGCTGCATTCTGTAGCAGAGACCTCATAACCTGCAAATATTAATGTACATTTCCCATATTCTAACCACAAGCCAAGAAACAGAAAAGGTTTTCAAGTTTCGTTCCATTCTTTCCTACGGCAGCAGTTTTCGGGTGATAGTTTTTCTAAAGGCATTTTTGACATCTTTGTTCCTTAGACTGTAAATCAGGGGATTCAACATAGGTATGATCAATGTATAGAACACAGAGGTCACTTTGTCGATATCCAGTGAATGATCTGTGCTGGGACGCAAATAAATGAAGATCAAGGTGCCATGGTAGATAGTGACAACAATCAGGTGGGAGGCACAAGTAGAGAATCCTTTCTTTCTTCCCTCAGCAGACCCTGTCTTGAGGATAGCTGCTATGATGAAAATGTATGAGAGAAGAACTGTGAGAAGACAGACAGCTTCAACTAAACTGGCAAAGACCACCAGCACGATGTCATGCACATAAGTATCTGTGCAGGACAAGGAGAAGAGTGGGGAAATGTCACAAAAGAAATGGTTAATTTCTTTAGAGCAGAAAGAGAGATGGAAAGTGTTGGCGGTGTGAATAATAGAACTCAAGGTGCCCCCCAAAAATGATCCCATTGCAAGCTGGCAACAAATCCTCTTAGACATAATAACAGTATAAAGTAGGGGGTTGCATATAGCTATGTATCTATCATAAGCCATGGCGGCCAAAAGGAAAGATTCTGTGTCAACCAAAGAACAGAAAAAATATAGCTGTGTTGCACACCCATTGTAAGAAATGCTCTTCCTCTCAGAAACCAAATCCACAAGCAATTTGGGAGCAATAACAGAAGAGTAGCAGGCATCTATGAAAGACAACACGCAGAGGAAAAAATACATAGGGGTGTGCAGGGTTGAACTGCTTGTGATTAAAAATATCATCCCAAGGTTTCCCATCAGTGTGACTGAATAGATGGAAAAGAACCCAACAAAAAGGAGACTCTGAAGCTCTGGGTGGTCACTGAATCCCAGGAGCAAGAACTCTGTCTTCACTGTGCCATTCGCTTCCTTCATCCTCCTTCGGTGCTTTGGGATTTCGGGAGCTGTGGCAGAGTAATGAGGGCAATGTTCATAATAACCTTGCTAGAAAAGTGATGTTTGTAATAACACTGACAACAAGAGCAATAATACATTAATTAAGTTTAAAATGTCAAAATGGAAAAGGCATTCCAACCAGTAGCTTTATAACAGTCATATTTTGGTTAATCCAATGTAATGCATAGGTTTTCACATATTTTAGTACTGGAAATCTGTACTTTTTTTAAAATTTATTCTTTTAATCATTTTATTGGGGCTCACACAACTCTTATCACAATCCACGCATACATCAATTGTGTAAAGCACACTTATACATTTGTTGCCCTCATCATTCTCAAAACACTTGCTTTCCACTTGGGCTCCTGGAATCAGCTCCTCATTGTTCTTCCCTCCCCTCCCTCCTCCCTCCCCCTCCCTCAGGAACCCTTGATAAATCTGTACTTTTAAATTGTATTGTTGAATATATTCCTTCCATTTCCTTAAAGCTATTCATTTCTATAAGGTTAGCTTATAGACACTAACCTCAAGCAAGCTACTGATTCTTAAGTTTGGTCTTCACCCTTAGTTTTTCAACTCTATTCACTACACCCTATGCATAGCAAATAACAAGACTAAACATTTTACCTCTGTCCAATCCACCCCATGCCTGCTACCATTCTGATCAATGCTCTGTTCACCTCGGATCCTATCCATTGCACAAGTCAATTGATCAGTTGCTCCATGGAAAATCTTGTCAGATCCATTCTATGCTCTGTTCATTCACCATCTTCCAGTCATGTAGACTCCCTATTACCCAATTAAGAGCATACCTCCATTATAAGGACCACTGCTGGTCTCTACAGTGTATCATTAAATCTAAGATAATGTGCCTATCTGTAAGGTTTGGTCTTGTGTACCTAATTTAGTGAGCAGACTCATGCTTTTGTGTAAAGGAAATACTGCGCTATTATTCAGGTGCCCTCAGCTCTGTACCATATAACAGTTTGTGTAATGTAGAACAATGACATTTTAGTAGACACTAACTCTTGTAGGGTGGTGCTACTATCACGCAGTTCCTCAGGGTCTTAACACATGCAATTTCTTCTATAAAACTTCTTTCAACATTCATTATTACTCAAGGCTTAAAAGAAGACAGGAAAAAATGCCAACTCACAACCACCATACATAGTTTCCAGGACTCTAAATAATTATCCAGAGTAGATAGCCTTATATTTCTCCTATTAGTCTGGAGGGTTTAAACCACCAACCTTGGGGTTATTAGTCCATTGCTTACCTGACAGAGCCAACAGGGTTCACAGCCCTGCAGACTGATCCTCCAAAAGTCGTTGTCAGGTTAATTTCTTAGAAGATAGCATTAAAGCACATGTAGTGCTGCAGGGTGGGTCAGTTGTAGAAACAGAATCACTAAGGATATGTCAACAGAACTAGGGTTCTTGCTTCTCAAAGCTGGCTTCACAAAGAGACTTCTCTAAAATGTCCAATGCCTAAAACAAAACCCAAAACTGAAAAACGCACTGATACCAAGTCAATTCTAACTCACAGTGAGGCTATAGAATAATATATAGAGGAGCAGAAAATTTCATGTTTTCCCAGAGGAGCTTTGGAAGGTTTAGAACTGCTGATCTGTGGTTAGCAGCCCCATGCAAAACCACTAAGCCACCAGTGCTCATCTATTTCCACCATTAATTTCAATATCCTCCTGATTTAGATCTTTAACTGTCATCAGGTCAGCACATGACAACACAGCAAGTGCAAAAAAGTAACTAAATCTGGGTCCATGGAGATGTTTAATTTATCCAGAATCCAACCTGTTGAAGGTAACCCAAGGAATCTTTATATTAACAAACTCATTACTTTTCAACCTCTGAAACGGTTTAATTATAGCCACAATCATTTCTGTTCTTTCTATAGGGACAAATTAAATAAGATTTTGAAATGGGCTCATCTATCCACCTAACCATGTTATTACCACTTTGACCTTATCCTATTTTACAGCTCTATACTTGTTGATAATCTAGCAATACACAGGAAGGTTGTCCAGAGACATAAACATTTTATTTTCCAGTGGAGAATAAATTGATTCTCTTGTCCCCTTGTAAAAGCCTGTTTTGAATCTAATTTTAAATATATTTGTGCATTTCTAGTGCATATAAATTTACCTTTGTAGTGATTGTTACACAGTGTTCCTTCCCAGTTTGTCACAGGTTTTTAATAAAACTAAATATTTCATTAAAACTTTGTATACCTTTAGAGTAAATCAAGTGAGTGTAACGATTATGAAATCTAGAAAACTACTTAAAAATTCCTCTTCCTCTAACTTCACTCTGTTTATGATTAGCTACTTACTTGAATTTTGGACATGTGTGAAATACCTGGACTTAGCACATTTTGATCTGATAGTTACTAAAATGCTCTCATCTTTAACTTCATTCACTCTACTCTTTGAAATATTAAGGAAGATTGATTATGTCTCAATTTTACAGGAAAGAAAATGATCATCACAGGCTAGCTGACCAGCATAGAGTTGAGTATCTCTGCAAAATGGGAGCCAGTGCATTCTCAGATAAGAAGAAAAATATATTCCTAATTAGAGTTCATGAATAGGCAATTTTCTTAAAGGGTCGAGGTTCAAACGCAGTCACCTCCGAAGATAGATTTGGTGATCTGCTTCTGAAAGGTCACAGCTTTGAAAACCTCGCAGAGCAGTTCTCCTCCACATACATGAGGCTATACCATGTGTCAGAACCCACTCAATGGCATCTAATACCATGCCAAGAAGAGTTCATTAATTCCGTGTTTCATCTTTATAACACATTTTGTTCAATGCTCTGTGCTATTGGTATTGCTGGAAGCACTTTGGATACTGACAACCCACCTTATTTCATGTGTGCTTTCACTCTGTATCTCAGTTATCTATGTGTATAAGAAATAAATAGAAAGCAATGATCTTATGAATTCAAGGTATGTGCTAAAATGTGTGGTTCTGTTAAGAATATTTACCCGATTTATGTCTATCTTTCCCCCATTTTCTGATTTACATTGTTGACAGTCTCATTTTATTTTCTTTAATTTTATTTTTTTAAATAGTTTTATTAGGGGCTCATACAACTCTTATCACAACCCATGCATACATCAATTGTGTAAAGCATATTTGTACATTCATTGCCCTCATCATTCTCAAAACATTTGCTCTCCACTTAAGCCCCTGGCATCAGGTCCTCTTTTTTTCCCTTCCCTCCCCACTCCCCCCTCCCTCATGATAATTTATAAATTATTATTTTGCCATATCTTTCCCTGTCCGACGTCTCCCTTCACCCACTTTTCTGTTGTCCGTCCCCCAGGTAAGAGGTCACATGTAGATCCTTGTAATCGGTTCCCCATTTCCAACCCACTCTCTCTCTACGCTCCCAGTATCACCACTCACACCACTGGTCCTGAAGGGATAATCCACCTTGGATTTCCTGGGTTTCCAGTTCCTATCTGTACCAGTGTTCCTATCTATACAAGTGTACACCCTCTGGTCTAGCCAGACTTGCAAGGTAGAATTCAGATCATGATAGTAGAGGGCGGAGGAAGCATTTAGGAAAAAATCTTACCATAGCAAATGAGGTGGGGAGTACGGAGTAGAGACCCAAAGCCCATTTGTAGGTCACTGGAGATCCCCTTGCAGAGGGGTCTCAGGGAGGAGACGAGCCAGATAGGGTGCGATGTAGCAATAATGAAAAATACAACTTTCCTCTAGTTCATTTCATTTTCTAATGGGAAAATCAAGTAAAAATAATAACATTAATTTTACTGCAACATTTACCCCAATCCATTTACCCAGTGTCATCTATGTTCATAGAAATAATGTTTACCTCCCATAGGAAGGCATTGGCTTCTTGGGTGAATGTGCTTTTTATACTTTGCTTTGAGTGACTTGAGTTCATCTTCCGCATATCTCTCACACACACATAATTTCTAAGGGACTAAAACTCTCAGACCTAAATCCCAAAGGGAAATGGTGTGTGAGCAATTAAAACCATTCTTACGAAGAGATGTTTAAACAAAACAAAATGGTCTGGAAGATGTCCCATTTAAATATAGCTTGACTTTCCAAATGCTAGATTGTTAAATACAAAATTGGATTATAGTGTGTATTAATATATTACTTTTAATTTTACCAGCTAAAAACAATTTGTCAAATACATGTTAAATTATTCTATGTAAATGGATGTTACAATGATCTAGGAGGAAGCAAACATATTGAGATACCCATTGGTAGAGAAAAATACCCTAAAATCCAACATATCCAAAGATAAATAATTGTGAATGAACTTAATAACTCTAATATGACCTATTGATGGGGACAGAACAGGGCAAACATCTGCTTACTAAGGGAGTGGTGAACCTGAGGCCAGCCCTGGTGTCTATCATGACATGGAACTGTAGCCTGTTATACACTTAGAAATAAATATGTAGGAAGCTCAAGGACAGACTAAGTTAACTAATCAGAACACAGTATGACTATCTGTAGAGCTTCAACCTTGACTATTTTGTGCCTTTGAAAGCAAAAACCATTTCCCTAAGAGGGTTCTTCTCAATTCTTGAGGGTGACCAACATTGATTTTGAAGCGTATTGATCAATGCTTAACTAAACCCTTGCACAGTTCTTTGTTATGATGTGCATATATGCATGTGTGTGTGTATGTCCACTTCCTCTAGTGCTGCAACAAGAAACTCAAGAGGGAATTACTAATACCTCCAAAGAAGAAAAGCCTGATATAGGCAGTCAGCAGCCAGGTTCAGCATTTCTTTACAGGACAAACACCACGCTATGAATTCTATTTATCTCTTGAATGTTGACCATCTCAGACCAGAACAAACTGGAATGCCATCAATAAAGCAACACATTTATGTATTATAAAGTGTGTACTTGATACCATGTTAGATAGAGAACAGGAAAAGGGTGGGTACTGAGAATTAAGGATTTAGACAAGTACAGAATAACAAAGGAAAGAAAGTAGAAAAGCAACATAGATAATACGATAGTAAT